CTCAAGGTCAGCAGTTCAAATTTACCAGCCGCTCCTTAGAAACCCTATACAGGGTTGCTGTGAGTCAGAACTGACTCAACACTCACATCAGAAGAAATTCTGAAACTTGCTCTTGAACATAGAGAAGCTGAAACGACAGGAAGATCTGGAAGGCTATGAGAATTCTTCTGTGAAAGACGGCCTTGCCTCCTTCACACAGTCAGAACTCTCACACCACTCCGGGTATCAATCTATCGTCTTGTTTCTTTCTTCTCTCAGTCGGGCAGTGTTTCGTTCTGCTGTGATATGAGGTCACGATGAGTCAGTACCAACTCGATGGCACCTAACAACAACAACTTCTGAGGATACATTGTGTGTCCCACTTAGTCTTGGGTTTTTACATCCTGGGATGTGATTGCTCCAAACAATGTTAATGACCTTTCAGAAACCTTTGTCTTAAAAGTTACATTCCTTTAAGAGACGAGAGATAGAGGCCCTAGGCTATTCCTCAGGGCTTGTCTTCATATCTTAGGTTTAACTCAACAATGCAGCACTAAATCCTTAGCCTGGCGTAGCCCTATGGATTAATTTGCTGGACTGTAAAGTTGGTTTGAACCTCAAGGTCAGCAGTTCAAATTTACCAGCCGCTCCTTGGAAACCCTATACAGGGTCACTATGAGTCAGAACCGACTCAATGACACTTAACGACACAACATATGTTCCAGGAGTGCGGGGGTGGGGTGGGGGTGGGGAATGTTAGTCAGAGCAGTATGACTGGGAAAATGATTAAAAGTGATTAGTCACATATCTATGTTGTGTGTTGTAGTTGTTAAGTACCGTGGAGTTGGTTCCGACTCATAGCGACTCTGTACTGGGTTTCTGAGGCTGTGAATCTTTACGGGAGCAGAAAGCCTCATTTTTCTCCCGCGGAACAGATGGTAGTTTCGAACTGCCAACCTTGAGGTTAGCAGCCTGATTCGTAACCACTGCGCTACCAGAGCCCCTTACATATCTATGAAGGTTAGTAAAAAACTACCTGCACAGTGGCTGTAGGATTTTAATCAACCTTGAGAAACAACAAATGCACCATGTTTTTTATATAATCCCCTTGATTTTCAGTACACTTTGTCTGTGTCAACAAGCTTTTATATTCCCTTATTTAAAAATGTTTTAGGCTGAGCTGCGAACCATGAATGCACCGCTGTCTTCACTTCTTCATCAGAGGTGAATCTTCATCCTGGAAGGTCTGCTTTCAGGAAATCAAACTGGTGAAAGTCTGATGGCTCAAGATCAGGACTATAGGGAGGATGCTGTAGCACTTCAAAAGGAAGTGTTTACAGAGTATCGGCAGTGTGGGCAGAGGTGTATCATCATGCTGTTGCGGCAGCGTGAGTCAGATCGAACTCAATGTGACAATCTCAAAGAACAAAATTTATTGCCGGCAGTCACAGTGTCTGCTCAAGCCCAAATCACTGTAACCTCTAAGTGAGCAGGGGAACCAGGTTTCATACAAAAACACAGGGTGGTTAAAACAAACAGACTTGTCTTGTCACCTGGGGTGGAAAATTCCAGCAAACCCTTATCCTGTAAGTGGGAGTAAACTCACCAATATACCCTTATCCTGTTTGTGCAGATAGGCTGGTGTTTTTACCCAAGTTCAGGTGTCCTTGAGTCATTCTAACCTTGGTGGGTTTTCCTGTTATTGAAGTGTAAGAAGTTTATGTATTATTTTTCCTTAGGGTGAGGGGGCAGGCAGGGTGAGACAGGGACTGAAAGGACTTAGTGGATACCTAGTTTAAATGGGGGCTGTAAGTCATGCTGTAATAATGCAAGATCATGGTCATGCAAGATCACAAAGCCCTCTGTGTTTAATCTGAAGTTTAGGCTTCAGGTCTTCAGTAAGCATCTCACGGTAAGGAGCACTGTTGACTGTTGGACCTTTTTCCTGATGGTGTTCCAATACTGGCTCTTGAGAATCACACAAGACTGGAAGCATCAGTTCTCCAGCTGATGGTTGACATTTGAACTTTTTTCTTGGTTGGCAATTGAGGATGTTTCCATTCCATTCTCTGCTATTAACTCTCAGACAGCTCACAGGCTGGAAGTGATGATTATCACTAATCACGATTTTTTTGGGAGAAATTCTGACCTTCCTTCAAGTATCAGTCCAAATTTTGTTTGCAGATGTCCAAACGCTTCTGTTTATTCTCTTCCATGGTTGTTTCGGTACCTATCTGGTACGAACTTTTCAAAACCCAAGTCTGCATTGGATTATTTCATAGGCTGATTTGCAAATAATTTTCCACAGAATCCACTGTCATTCGTCTATTGTGCAGAATCATTTCACGTGCATGCTCAATGTTGTCATCAGCTGTGGATGTGGATGGCGTTTTAATACAAGCAGAGTGCAGATAATTTTTGGACTCACCCTTGTAAAAGCAGACTTCTGGGGTAACGGAGCTGGCTAGTAGGGTATTGCCTTCCAACACACAAAAAGGTGTGTCCTGAAGGTATACATAGGGGCAGGTTCTTATTCAGAATGTCTGGGAGGTTGAGGGTCACTCAAGTTAACCAAGGTGCTGAACTAACTGATTACAGGAGGGAATTCATTGTCCATAACTAGCACCCAGTGCGTTTTCAGTTAGGACTTCCCATCCTGAGGGAGTAATCTGCTTAATGAAGGCTGAAAGAGGGAAACAGAGAACCAAGAAAGGATATTGAAGGCACACTGGGTACCAAGGAAGCTGGTGAGCCAGCTGGGGCAGCCATGGGATTCAGAGTCACCCCTGGCCAAGGGAGGTGGTGAGACACCCAGCTGTATTTCAGCTTTCAACCTTTTACTACATCCTGGGACATACTAACCCGTCCATTAGAGGACCAGTCTTAGCCATCTGGGGTATACAGTGGCTCTTGCCCCTGATGATAAACATTTGAATTCCCTTTCCCTGAGCAATCTCCTCAGCTTGATTTTGGGTTTTCTTGTATTTAACACAATAACAGGAGTCCTGGAGTGGTGCTATAGGATAAAGCATTGGACCACAAGCTTGGTTTGAACCACAAGGTCAGTGGTTCAAACTCACCAATGGCTCCTTGAAAACCTAATAGAAGGTCACTATGAGTTGGAACTGACTTGACTGCACTTAACAACAACAATAATGCAACAATAAGTCTAGAATCTGGGAAAGACATGTCCTGAATGAAAATGGAGAAATTGTTGTTATTAAGTTACGTGTTATAAGGCATCGGACCCTTTTCATCAGTTCCTGGGTATCCGAAATCCCAAGTGACATTTTAAACAGCACCCATAGTCTCCAGGTCTCACTTTATCCATTCAATGGTCGCCCAGGAAGGAAGGGCTAACGCCACACACAGAAGGGTTCTAATATCTCCTATCTCTAACCTGAAGGGTGAGAGAGCCCTCATCTTGTAGGACAAGCACGGGATCCTCTTTCTAAATTGTCGGGGTTTTCCCTCGACATAGTTGTCACGAGTTTTTGGTTCACGAGGAGGGGAGATCCAGCGGCGATAG